GGGGCTGGGTGCATCTGTACTGAGGTTAAGGAAAGAGCAGTGTGATGCATTTGCCCCTTATTTATTTTCCCACAGACCATGTGTGCATCTTCAGAAGTTGAATATCCAGGGCTAGAGTCCAGTTCAAGACAGCAAAGCTGTCCAAAACCTGTGAGCAGGCGACTGAAATACTTCTAGGTTTAAGTGTGATTTGCGTACCTTATCCACACTGGAATACTTCCTCATCGGAAACAGTTATCAGTATAAGGTATAAGTGGTTATGCCTAACATAAAGAACTAGTTATTTAAAATAGTGGTTTTTCTCTGTTACATCGTTTGTAAGGGCCTGTGGGTTGGAAGACTAATTGAACTTGCCGTCAATGTTTGGCAGACTCTTGGGACCGCCTCCTTTAGAGTGCTCTAATAGTTTAATGGCCTTGTCGGAGTTGTCAATGTTCCTCAGCAAAGTCTCTAGTCGCCTCTTAATTTTCTTCTGATCTTCGAGAGCGCAACCGATTACTATCGACTGAAATTTTTGGTCAACTGGCCCGGGCGGCACCTCAGATGAACACGCACTGTAGAGTGACATTAAGTGGCTCTTGGCATTTCCCAGGTCGTCCAGGAACTTACTGACCACCTCATCTATAATCTTCGTGGCGTGCTTCAAGGATTCCTCCTGCTGGGGACTTCGAATTGTCTCCACTGAGACCTCAACAGTGAGCGTGCGGCCCATCAGGCGGTTTGCAGTGAGGTTTAATTCTTCTCTTTCTCCTAAACACGAAACAGCAGTCAGTAGGAGACAGAAACTTAACCCCATCAGCAATGTCAAGGCGTTCATCTGTGGCTACCTCTATTTTGTATAAGCACTTCTGTGAATTTTTTAAAGGTAAATGCCAAAAACACTACCGCGTGTAAGATTAACTGAGGAAGTCTTTGATTACAGAGCTAGGTCACAGAACGCCTCTGCCCAAAGTCTTTACTCAGTAAGGGCCAGCTCCCACCCCAAGTCTGTATGTATGTCTACATGTTTGGTGGAGGCATTTATAGCTAAGATGAAAATCAAGCAAATTCAGAGCAAGCAGAGTTTAGCTGGGAGGATGGCTAGGGTTCGAGATGGGGCACAGTGGAGGCTCGATGCCGCACACAGGACGCGCGTGTCTGTCAGAATACACGGCACACTTTCGGCCAGGAAGCAGCAGTGATAATGTAGGTAGGACCAGCGGGCTCCCGAGAAAGCCCTGGCCCTCTCCCCTGCACACATACTCAAGCTGGCCCTGGGTGCGAGTCTTGGCCAGCGACTCCAGGAAACTGTGGTGGCCGTGGGCTCTGGCGACATTTCAAGATATACCCCAAACCGTCAACAACTTCTTTTCTAGTTCCAGAACTCCCGAATTCCTCGGTCCTTTGCCGTGATGGTGAAGGGACAGACTAGGCAGGGCCCACTGTGGGTGGACAGCATTTGGGGTCTGGAGTTCAACTGCTTATCTCCCCAGCCCCCCAGCCCACTGTATTGGGTGATCTATTCCTCCCTGGGTTGCCACAGCCCTCAGACGACCAGGGCAGTGCGTTTTACATTAATTCCTCTGCCTGTCACACCTCAGACCATCTCGCCAAGTCTCCACTTCCACCTTGTTCCTTTGTAAGGTCCAGGACCTTGTAAAGCGCTGTGGTCCCGAGGTAGGCTGCATGGCTGTACTGCCTGCCCGCCCTTCTGGAGCTTGCAGGCTAGCGTGGGCGTGGGGGACACAATGACACAATGACCACCGCCCGCCTGCCGACTGGCAGCTGCCGCTGCTCACTGGCTCGCTGCTATTAATGCTCAACAGGGGTAGGCGCCCCCCAAGTCAGGCAAGCATGGACTCACATTTGTCAGAGACTCCCTGGAAGTCTAAAGCGCCCCTCTGTGGAAACAGTTCTCACCGTCACTAATCTGCCTCATGTCCTGGCTGTTCTGGATGCTGTGGATCATCTCCAGAAGGATTTCTTTCTCTTGTTCAACAGCAGTAGCTGCGTCTCTCAAAGCTTCAACCCTGCATGCATTGGCACAACAAAACAGTTATTATAGCAACAGTGTCCTTCCTATTAATTTCCCTCAGCTGCCATCTAGATCAGCCCGAGTTTAAAGGACAGGAAGAAAGCTTTGCAAAAATGCATTACTGCAGAAATGCATTGCTGGACATGGTGGCACACGCCTTTAATCCCAGCACTCAGGAGGCAGAAGCAGGTGAATCTCTGAGTTTGGGGACCAGCCTAGTCTACTGAGCAAGTTCCAGGACAGACAGAGCTATACAGAGAAACACTGTCTTAGAAAAACAAAACAAAACAAAACAAAAAACCATTACTTAAAAAAAAAAAAATTTAATGGGTGTTTTTGTCTTGTTTTCTGAGACTGGGTTTCAAAGGCAGGCCTAGAACTTGCAGCAATCCTCCTGTCTCAGTGGTGGGGCAGCAAGCACGGGCCACTCCCTCTGGCTCCTCAGCTTGCTGAGCTCCTGTTCCCTTGCCCGGGGCAACCAGAGACCATGTTCATCCATGTGAACTTGTTCTTTTAACATCTGTGTTTGTATTTTCAGTGTGCATCCGCTTCTCTTTTTCCACCTTGCTCTTCAGGACCACCTGGTTCCTGGGTATCCATGCTGCACTCTGTACCATGTGAAGCTCTGTCCGGTTCTCTTCACTCTGACCCTTCACATTCGCTTGCATGACTTGGCGTCTACAAGCTCAAGACATGAACTCCTTATGGGCCACAGACATGGAAGCCGTTTCTCCTGTGAGCTTCGTTCAGGATGGCCCTCACTGAACAGATACTGCCCAGTCCCCTGAGATAAACTTATACTGACTCTATTACCCAGGGTGCCCTGTGCTCTGTTTCAGCCTCAAGCATGTGGGGTCACCTGCATGTGTTGGCCTACCGGTAAAGAGCTCCTCTTTACTTTATTAAAGATTTGTTGTAGGTCTGTGTGCCTGAGTGTTTTGGCTGCATGCATGTAGGTGCATTATATATGTGCATGGTGCCCACAGAGGACAGGAGGGCTTTGAATGCCCTGGAATTGGAGCTACGGATGGTTATGATGGGTGCTGGGGACTGGCCTCAATCCTCTACCACATCATCCAGTGCTCTTCACCACTGAGCCATCTCTCCAGCCCCTTAGTTTATTTTTTTGGAGACCCTGTTTCATAACGTAACTCAGCCTGGCTTTCCTGCCTCTGACTCCTGAGCAATAGCTCACTCTGATGTGGTTCTTATCGTGGCTTTGCCTTGTGGCTTAGCCTCTCGAAGTTTTAAGTGCTTTTCTGACATCCTGGCCATACTATTTTCCCATGTTCTAGTTATAGTTTTACCTTCCCGGTATTTGTTTCTTTAGTCCACCAGAATATGCTCTGGCTTAGGCAACAACCAAACAGCCGTTTTCCTTACAATTCTTCACACCAAATCCTGTGTTACCTACATGAGATGCACCTTTGAGACGGCTCCCGTCAGTCAGTGTGCTCGCTGCCCTCCCCCACACTCTTACAGCGTCATGGGCTCTGCACTGTACAATTAACTGGTAGAATAGCCTCCTCCAAAATCTTCTATAAAGGTAATTTAGATATTTGTATACTTCCATTCCTCCATATAAACTGTATGTTTGATTTCTTTTAAACAATGCGGGAGCCAGGTGGTGGTGGCACACGCCTTCAATCCCAACACTCAGGAGGCAGAGGCAGGCAGATCTCCGTGAGTTCAAGGCCAGCCTGGTCTAAAGAGCGAGATCCAGGACAGGCTCCAAAGCTACACAGAAAAACCCTGTCTTGGAAAAAAAAAAGGGGGGGGGGATTTGACATCCTCTTGACAATGTAGTTTAATTTACATCTCTTTGTTTACTTCAGTTTTATATATTATTAGCTTTGAAATATTCTTCACAGTAGCCTTATGGATTTCTGAGTGTTCCAGAAACTTTATGGATATTGTTGCAGATCATTTTAATTATGTTTCTAGTCAATTATTGCTGGCTTGAGACATGCTGTTTTTATGGGTTCTGCTTACATCTGGCAATCTTGCCTGTATTAAATTTCAATGGGTGGCCCATCACTTCTACCATTTCTTCTGAGTTCACGTGACCATACTGTCTGGGGGAAAAAAAAAGAGTTTCTGACTCTTTTTCATCCAGTTGATTTTCCTTACAGTACTGACCGATGTCTTTTGGTTCTATATTAGACAGCGGAAGTGATGGGTTTTTGCTTTTTCCCAAATTTAAAGGGAAAGTCTCTTTCAGATTTTGGTGTAAAACCCTGATCATACATACCATAGGACACTTCATCCCCTACCTCCACCAACTACACACACACACACACACACACACACACACACACACACACACACACATTTAACTTCACATACAGGCGAACAAACCCTGCCATTCAAAACCAGGGTGTTGAGTCATGAAAAGCAACAGAAAAACATCTCACACATTTAAAAGTTATGTATTTTCAGGTCACTTTCTTACAGGTCACAGTGACTACATTTCCAGCTTTTGTAGAGAGACAGTGATAGATGACCCCAGAATGTGAGGCCAGGGACAGGCGTTCCAACCCAGATCACTAGTGGAAGCAGCCAGAGAGGGAACAATTCCACCAACCTTTTATTAGCACACGTCAACCCGTGACCTCCCATTTTCACCCTGTCCACATGTCACCCACCTGTCAAACCCCAAAATAGCACCATGAGGTGTTTCGCTTACAGCATGTCTCTAAAGAGCCAGCAGAAGCGGGCAGGAATTGTATGTACCAATCTGGCTGAAGACAAACAAGTATGGGTAGGGTTACAGGCTTCTTCGGGCACCACTGTATTACAGTAGCGTCCTCAGCTGAAAAATGGGAGCCCAGTAGGTAGGAAAGAGGCCCAGCTGGCAGCAGTGTGAAATGTTTATAATTAGAAACGCTAATTATGACTCCAGTGTTTAAAGAAATGATGCGCAGACTCTGAAGGACCAGATTCCATTTTAACGCGTGCGCGTGTATTAAATATGACTGAGGGAATGGACGTTGTTCTAAAAAGGGCTCATTTACAGTAATCAGGTACAGCCGTGAGTTTGCGGAATTAATGAAACAGACTAAAAAGGAAATATCCTAAGGGGAAAAAAAACCACCTTTTATCTGTGCATAAAGGAGCCATTTCGAGCTAGGGATGCAGCTTTGAGGTACAGAATGTGCTTAGATTTTTAAAAGCTTGAGTTTGACCTCAGACAGAGGTCTGACCAGCAGACAGAGAGGAGGAGGTTGATTGACTGATGTTGATTGATGGAGGCTTTTTTTTTTTTTTTGAAGGAGTTCTTTATACATAGTAGAAATCCCCAGAGCAATATACACATCTACATATATTCATCCATTTACCGTGGGCCTTTCATTTGCTGTTCTTCCTTCCTACAACCTTCTTCCTGATACTTAGGATCCTTTAAAGAATTCTGGTTCCCTTGGGCAGGAACTGTTCACCACTTCCCTGCTTCCTTTCCCTTAAGGAAATCAATACTCTCCTTGGCCCTTGTCTTCGTTAGGGTTTCTATTGGTGGGACGGACCACCGTCACCAAGAGCAACTTGGGGAGGAAGGGGTTACTTTGCTGACTCTTCCACACCACAGTCCATCAGTGAAGGCAGTCCGGGTGCTCAAACAGAGCAGGAACCTGGAGGCAGGAGCTGATGCAGAGGCCACAAAACGTTGCTTACTGGCTTGCTCCCTCATGGCAGCCCAGATGTGGCACCACCCACAATGGGCTGGCTCCTTCTGCACCAATCACTAATTAAAAAAAAAAAAAAAAAAAAAAAAAAAAAAAAAAAAAGCCAAGGCAGTGTGAGCAGTCACTGTGAGCAGTGACCCCTTAGTGTGTGGAGGGTCAAACAACCCTTTCACAGAGATTGCCTAAGACCATCAGAAAACAACAGATATTTACATATTTGTTGCAGACTGTTACTTTTGTTTATGTTGCATTTGTTTAACTCTGTGAAGCTGTGTTCCTGTGCCTGTCTAAAACACCTGATGGTCTAATAAAAGAGCTGAACGGCCAAGAGTGAGGCAGGAGAGAGAAACAGGCGGGGCTGGCAGGCAGAGAGATGATATAGAGGAAGAAATCTAGGAGAAGAAGGAGCCAGAGAAGGAGGAGTCCAGGGGCCAGCCACCCAGCCACCAGCAAGCCACGGAATAAGAGTAAGAGAATGGGAAAAGCCCAGAGGCAAAAGGCAGACGGGATAATTTAAGTTAAGCAAAGCTGGCAAGAAAAAGGCCAAGCTAAGGCCCGGCATTCATAAGTAAGAATGAGCCTCCGTGTGTGAATTCATTTGGGAGCTGGGTGGCTGGCCCCACAAAGAGTAAACAACCAACAACACATATTCATAACAGCAGCTAAGTTACAGTGATGAAATAGCAACAAAAAGAATTTACGGTTGGGGGTCACCACACCATGAGGGACTGTATTAAAGGGTCGCAGCTTAGGAAGGTCGAGAACCGCTGCCCAAAAAGGCTTTCTTGCCTGTAGCTTGATCTTATGGAGGAGGCATCTTCTCAGTTGAGAGTCCCTCTTCCCAAATGACTCTAGCTTGTGTCAGGGCGACTTTAAAACTAGCCAGGACAGCACTGTTCATTTGTTTTACCCCCACCCTCTTCCTTGTGAGACAGGGCCTCCTCCCAGGCTGGCTTGGAACACACTTGGACTTCTGATGCGCCCGTTTCTACCTCCCGAGTGCTGGTATTACAGACGTGTGTGATGCCGGGTTTATTTGTACTGGGGATGAAACCTAGGGCTTCCTGTGCACTAACCCAGCATACCTCACTACTCAGCTTGTTTAAATTGTGTTTGTACTCTTCATCAGCTCTTGCTGGACTTAAACTCGATTCACAGAATTCTGTCTATGTAGCTTTTCCACTAGTCTGAGGTTAGTGACTGAACCTTAAATACCGCCTGCCTCCCTTCCTATTGGTTTCTTGAGACGCTACGATAGACAGATATAAACATTCAATCTTAATAAACTCATGGGATGATTCTTCTCTTGCCGGCAAGGGGCATTTCTTGGTGGACTGGAATCCAGGAAGCAGCTCCATGTCCAAATCGGGAAAGGAAGCGCCCTCACATCACGGCTGCCTGGGCGCGGAAAGCTGCTCTACTCTAAGCAGGCTTTGGCAGAGACACCGTAGTAAGAATTTTCACGAGCACAAAACTGGAGCATCCTCTCCTGGTCCCCAGCCTCCCAGGCATCGCATGAGCCTGCAGCGGAGGTGGGAGGGTGAACTGGGAGGAGGAGGGCAGGCGAGGATGTCGCCCGACGGCAGCTCACAAAACCCCAACTGTGGGAAGAACTACTGCTGACTTGGCCGGAATTTCCTCACCCTCGACACCAGTGATAAGGAGACCTTGGCTGTGACTGAAGGAGGTAAAGTAGGAGCAGAGTTTAACTCGGCGACCAACAGGGACGGCGGAAAACATCAGCAGGAGTCAGACGCTACCTATGACGTCAGCACGCGTGCGCTTCACGCTGGTTAGTCTAGACTTAGGGTCACGGACGCAAGCTCTTTTTAACGAAAATGTGTGCTTCCACACACAGGGAGTCGGCAAACGTTCCCTTCAGTGGGTGTATGTGAAAGGAACTCTCTCCAAAACAAGTTCTCAAACTCACAGACTGAGGCTCCACGTGAGACCGTGGCGTCTGCTGCAATTCCTGATCCTGTCAGGAAAGACAGGTTCTCCCCGTCTGCCTTCACTGTCCGAACCACTCACCAGTACATTAGCCTAAGGCAAGGCACCTAGTCCCTCGGTTTCTTTCTTTTTCTTTTTTCTTTTTTCTCCAGACAGGATCTCACGTATCCCAGGCTGGCCCAGAACTCACTACGTAGCCCAGGATGACCTTGAACTTCCGATCCTCTCGTCTCTAGGACTGGGACTATAGGCATGCACCACCACCCTGCTGGCTTTCTGAAGCCAGGTATCAAACCTAGGGTTTTGAACATGCTAGACAAGCATCCTACCAGCTAAGCTCCCATGGCAGCCCGGTGTTCTCACGGCTGAAAGATATAATAACATCCTCCCCCTCAAGGGTTTTAGAAGTTTCAAATTACAATGTATATGAAAAGTGTTCTTTTAAATTACAGACTATCACTTCACATTAAATATGGCTTCCACTTGCTTTGTGAGTCCTGGAACACTGGGACATCCTAACAGGAACCTTAAGCAGGAAGAAACCCCAGCGGGGGAACGGCGCATGTCCCAGGCCCCTGCAGTGACCACGGTTTCCTGCCTGGGTGGGTGGGGGGCGGGGTTTGGAAAGGAACTACTCACTATGGGATCGGTTTTGGGAAACGAATGAACAGCCAGTCTCCCAGTCCCGCCTATCACTCATTCCTCCTCTGCAAATCTCTGAAACGCAGCCCTTGGACAGCATCTTTATCACCCACAGCTTCTAGAAGCTACTCGATACTCGGCACACACTGGGTGTTCAATATTCACTGGATTGATTTTCTTCTCTCTTGGTAAAATCGCATTCTGATGCCAACTGGACGGCTGAAAATGATCTCTCCAGCCCTGGGACACATGGTGTTTGATCTGCACAGCCAGCCAGTCTTCCCATGTTCGAATGTGAAGCCCACTGATCTTGACTGCAACTCGAGGCACGTGGTTTGTCTCTGAGCTTCCATTTCTCATCTGCAGAATGCAGATAATGGTAACTCCCACAGAGTCAGGGGGCCTAGCACACAGACAGATGCTAGCACGTATTGTTTATAAACTAGGATCAGCATTAAAAAGTAAGAAGTAAGGTATCTCGCCACGACGAGAGCAGAATCCCAACAGAACTGGTCGCAAAAAAAAAAAAATCAAGAAAGGACAGGGTTACCTCTTTAGAGGAGATGTAGTGGAACTATTTTTTAAATGTAAGATAGTGTAGTTAGTATTACAAACTATTAGAAACAAACGGCAATCCGCTAACAGCTTGTAAAACTGGGCTGAAAGTTGTTAAAGCATTTTAGAAATCCTAGAGGTCAGTGCATCCTTCAGGACATAACACCTTTGGTGTGGTTTCAGTTTCCTGAGGGAAAAGTGACTCCCACTGTCAACAGAAACCATACCACTGAATGGAAAATGTATACTGGCTACAAGCCAGTGTTTTGCAGTACCAAATCCACTGCTTGACTAATATGTACACTAAAGAAGCTGGTAAAGGGAAATCACAGAAGCTTCATCTTTTCTCTGTCCTCCATATTTAAAAGTCTAATTTTTAACAGCGAGTAGTGCTCTATGGCACTGTCAAGGTGGCTGCTAAAAAGGACCCCCACACCTGGAGCCATTAAACACACATCCATCAAACTCTCCCCATCAGCACAACTGTTAAGACACAGAAATTAACCGCTTATATGCAATAACCAGAATTCCTTTTACATTAATCAGACACTAGAATGCAACACCTCTCAAACCCAAGACTTTCGGGACAACCCCATCCCTGGTGGCTCTCGCACTTGGGAGGCATTAATTCTGGTTTCAGGGCAATGACTCAGCTTGAAGAGAGTAACAACTCCCTGAGCCCTTTCAAGGAAAAAAAAATCTGAGCAGTTGAGAATATACTGTCAAAGGTCGGCGTCTACTTCGTAGAGGGAAGCATCCCCAGCCCTCGGAAGGGCTTGACCGCTGAGGCCCCTTTGCCCCACTCCGGGCTGGGCACATATGGTTCAGGCTTCTCTCGTGGCTACTCAGGAAATGGTGAACAATGTCTCGCCAGCTGGTTCTCTGCTCCTAATAGTAATAATAATGAGTGCCTCACTCGCAACAAAGCTGCTGGCTGTAGTTTTCTGTGCAAGCACACTTCCGCCGCCTGTTCGGTGCACGAATGGAGGGAGATAAAGGCACACCAGACTTCAGGGTTTTGCTTATGCAGAACCTGGAGAAAACTAGGGAACAAAATGTTCGCAGTTCCTGGAGGCTCGGGGTGCCTTGATAAGATTTTCACCGAACAACACCCGCACACAACCAAAACTTGCACAACTCTGGAGACATTAACGTCTCCACCAGACACATAAGGTCTCAAATGGTTACGGACGACCCAGTATTTGCAGCAGTTGCTAGTATTCAATACTTAGAAATTTTACTACAAGGCTGATCCCGTGACGGAATCTCGGGCAGACAGTGTGACTCCTGCCTTTCGTGTTTTCAGGCCTGTGGCTGGCACTTCCAAGGTGCCACCAGTGTCTTCTAAATGCACAGCAGGATACCGACAGACTGCGGAGGGCATCGCACGTGGCTAAGAGGAGGAAGGACGGTATCCAACTTCGGCACCACCACCCCCTAGCCCCCCACGGCCCCTCGTGGGTCTGATTCCCGCTGGCCGCGGGAGGGAGGGGGCAGTCTGGAATTTTCCTTACTCTTGAGTTACTATGAAGTGGTCTGGGGCAAAGAAACTTACTACAATGGGAAGGTGGGGAGAGAGGGAGAGAGACCCACACTAAACTGCTACCTCCCTCCAAAGAGCATCACTGGAAACGTGAAAGTTAAAGGCAGCGGGGACCACACAGAAGGTTCTGGAAGTTGGGCAGGCCCGCGCTCGCCGGGGGAGGGGAGCCCACCCGAAGCGCGCGCCCCCGGCAGCCTGCTCGCCCGCCCGCCCGCGCCGCCCGCCCTCACCTGAGCTCCAGCTGGTCCAGGCTCTCCAGCAGGCGGCTGGAGCGGTCGGCCATGGACGAGGAGCGGCAGAAGCGGCCCTCGTGGGCCTTGGCGCTGATCTTCGCCTGGGCCATGAGCTCCGGGGGTCCGCGGCGTCGGCGGGCAGCAGTGGCGCGGGCCGCACGTCGCCGTCACCGCGGGCGCCGCTGAC